GCAGAGCAGATGTTCTGCAGATGTTAACGGTGCCATCAGAATACAAGGGGTACATCTACTTCCCCCAGCTCTGCTGTGACTCCGTGCCTGGCAAGGTATTGGCGCCGGCGTCTGACCTGCCCTGCTTCCCCTGGGGCTCTCTGGGAGAGCTGGACCCATTACCTTTTAACAGGTAAAAACTCCCTCTTTGGGTGTGTGCATACTGCCCTAGGATCCCCATCACACCCAGCTTAATCTGCTGAAGGAGCAGAGCAGGATTATGTTTGTGCCAGCCTAACCCACGAGCTGAGCTCTGCTGGCTTCCTTACTGAAGCGAAGCGCTGCCTGTGGCTGACGGCACTGGCTTGCAGTCCCGTCCGTGGCTCGGTTCCCCCAAGCAGCCTGAACTTTTGCAGGAGGTTATCCAAGTCACAACCTTCCCCTCAGGTCTGCCAGCCTTTTTTTTTCTGCACGGCGTTCAGCAGAGCCGCTCGGAGCCATAACCCCACGCACCTGGATGTAGGAGGGACGTGTGCGTATCCTCCCAGCTTTGTGCTGGCTCAGCTACATCAGGGATTTGTGTGGGGAAGAGGTAGGATTGCTGGTTGACAGGGCTGAGCGAGAAGCAGCCCCTTGATGGAACTGGAGTAATAATGGCAAAATTGAAGTGGTTTCAGCGTGGGAGAGGGTTTTGCTGTGCTGGCACAGTGCCCCCAGTGTATCTTGTCCCAAACACGTGCAGAAAACCAGCGCGATGAGGTACGTGTCTCCGCGTAAAGGCTATTCATTCTGCAGTTCCTTTCTAAAAACTTGTTTTTCTTCTGCTCTTCTGAGAAGTGCTGCTGGGACACACGGGCAGATACAGGCTGATTTCAACCGCTACCTGTGCGCCAGGAGACCCGAGAGCGCAGAATGACCCGCATCCAGCTTACCAGCCCTTGCTGCTCCCTGGCACAACCAGCCCATCCAGCAAAAAGCGTTGCATCTATATTGCATTAAGATAAAGGCTCAGAAGGACATTGTTAGCGTAGATTAAGAGTTCGGTGCTATTAGGAAGTAATTACTGCTTTCACAGGAACTACTTAACATGTGGCTTAGTCCTTTAGCTAGCAGCACACCAGCATGCCAGCGTCTCCAAAAGCTTTTCACCCATGCAGAAGCGTCATGCCTGCTGTAATAAATGATGCTCTAAAATAGTTGCAAGTAACCAATTTACACTCCTAGCACAGTTGCTAATCAATAAAATGGAATAGTTTATCCTGGTGTCTTTATTATATGTATTCTGGGCGCTTCACTCCCAGCCAACTCTGATATCTTGTTTCTCCAAAGTGCAACCTGTTTGTTTTCCTCTCATTAAGCCCCTCTGTAGGATATAAAGTTAATAGTGTGAAATAAATATCCAGCAACATTAAATGTTGACCCAGGATTCACAGTTACAGTTATTTCAGGGCATCTACTAGTGATGCAGTTCAGGCAGCAGCATCACTCCACAATTTCTCACAATCTTTCAAACAAAAAACCGAACCAAAACCAGATACGCTGAAGTTCTTTCCAGAGACAGGTGGGCACTGTCTGCATTTCATTCTCTCTGTGATATCCACTGATCGATGCCGAAAATGCCGAACCTCTGCATACTGGTTCAGGTCTGGGGAGAGCAGAGGCGACGAGTGAAGGGCTGACCTGGGGAAGGGCCATGTGCCCACATTTGCTTCTTCCAGCCTAACAGAGAGTCTAATTAACGATGCAAACCTCGCTCTTCTCTAGCCTCAGCCCATCACAGCCACAGCAGCGCTACCCTCGTGGTGTTATCTGGAGTCTTGCTGCCTTCGCTGATAAACACAAGTCATTTCACAAGCTTCAGCTGGGTCCCGGCATGGGACGGAGGACACTTTAGCTTAGGTTTCACCCAGCTGCAGCATTTGTCTTATTAAATTAAATTAAACAGGAGAGCTGGGGCTGCCCTGCTTCATCCTACCCTGCCAGGCAGTGCTTGGTGAGCGAGCTCCGCTCTTCGCAGCAGACCTGACTCGAGG